CCATCCATCCACCCACCCATCTATTCATTCCTTCATCTATACTTGTTTCCACAACCCGTTTGTCCATCCATCCATTGACCCACTCACCCACGCATTCACTCATCCACCCATCCATCCATCCTCCACTTGTCCCTTCACACATCCACCTACCCACCTATTCTTTCATTCATTCATTCATTCATTCATCTATTCATACTCACTTCCCCGCCTCATCCACTCATCCATCCATCCACTCATCCATCCACCCATCCATGTTTCAGGCAGAGAACAAAGCAAAATCACTGCCCTCAGGAAGTTTACATCGAGTGACGCAGGGCTTACAGACAAGAATCAAGTAACTACAAGAATAAGTGGGAAACTGACTGTGCTAGGTGCTGGGAGAAGCCACCGCAGGGCCATCTGACCTAGTCAAGGGTTCCAGAAGAGGCTCCCTAAGGAAGTGACCATTGAATGGACCAGGCTGGAGAGGGATGGATGTTCCTGCAGAGAGGGGAGAGCAGGTGCAAGGGCAAGAGGAAGCGGGGGGTGTGGCCTAACAGTGCCTCTCAAGCCTGCTAAGGACTGGGTTCTGTCCTCACAGGCTTGAAGCAAGCAGCAGGTAACATGGTCAGAGTCACATTTTTTTTTTTTTTTTGACAGGCAGAGTTAGACAGTGACAGAGAGAGACAGAGAGAAAGGTCTTCCTTCCATTGGTTCACCCCCCAAATGGCTGCTACAGCCAGCGCACTCCACTGATCCGAAGCCAGAAGCCAGGTGCTTCCTCCTGGTCTCCCATGTGGGTGCAGGGCTCAAGCACTTGGGCCATCCTCCACTGCACTCCCGGGCCACAGCAGAGAGTTGGACTGGGACAGAGCCGGCACCCCAACCGGGACTAGAACCCGGGGTGCCAGTGCCACAGGCGGAGGATTAGCCAGCCCAGAGTCATATTTTTAAAATATTGTTCTGGCTGTGGCTATGGAAGATAGAAGCAGGGGATGGGATGAGCGGGGGAATTGTCCCAGAAATTCTGGGGCGGAACCTTGGTCCAAGGACAAGTTTAGGGGAGGGGGTGGTGAGGAGGAGTAGATGGACTCCAGGCCATTTAGGATATGAAGTGGGCAAGGCGTGGACGAGGGGCTTGCTGGAGGGATGAGAGTTGAGGGAGTTGTCTAGGATGATGCCCAGGTTTCTGGATAGAACAGTTGCTAGGCAACAGAGTGACAGCCAGGAGGGAGTGGGGAAGGGGAGAGGGGGACACGCTTTTCCCAGCAGTTGTTATTATGCTCATGTTTGCAAAATAAAGAGTGTGGGAAGAGTGAGTGTGCACAGCTCCCTGCCTGCATGCCCGCCCAAGGCTGTGGAGCCTGGTGGAAGGAGGTTGCACATGGCAGGGGAATGGAAGCTGGGACTTCCGGTCACGGCTCTGCACCCAGGACGCTGTGTGACTCCCAGCGGGCAGTTTCACCCCTTGGGACTTGAGCCCTGGAACCGACAGCACTCTCTTAGTCTGCTATGTAGGGGCATGAAAGCAACCTGCGTGGTATCTGAGTCCGCTGACACGGTTTACAGGGTTCCTTCCACCTCGCAAGTTACCCGTCCCCCCCTCCCCCAAGATCTGCTGCGGCCGAGGCCCGAAGGTGGGATCAGCACGAGCTGCGGAATGAAAGATGGTAAAGGAATCTGAGTCCGACAGAGAGAGGCAGCCCCCGTGTTTGACCTTGGCTCTCTCCCTCTGCGCCACTCTCCCTACAGAAGAAGAGGGCAGGCATTTTGGTTAAATTCCCAAAACTGTAGGGCAGAAAAGCCTCCTTTGGGGGTGAGCCCTTTGTGGATGCCGGCATGGGGTGGGTTTTCTGCAGCTTCCAGCCACTCCCTGTGGGGATGGGCTAAGCCCCAGGTGAGGCTGAGCGTCCCAGGGACATCGGAAGCTGTGCCCTGCTAAGCTGGAGTCCTTTCTGCCTCTCCTGTGTCCCTGCCGGGATTCTTGAAGCTACAAGATGCTCTTTGCACAATAAATAAATAAAGACAAATAAAGGAGGACAGAAAACCCAGCCCGGCTTTCTGCAAACGAGACTTGGAGACAAAAACAGGGTTTGAACCTCGCTGCTGGGGTTTCCACGGTGGCTCCACTCTGCCGCCCTTCCCATTGGCTAGCCGGCCTGCTCTGGCCTTAGCAACAGAGGCTCGGATACCCGGCTCTCTCCTGGTTGGCCAGGCGGTGCTGCGGCGCCATGGCAACAGAGGCAGGGGGACCAGTCTCTGCAGGATGGCTTGAGTCACTGTCTACCTGAGCTCGGCTGGGATCCAGAAGGCGGCTCGAAGAAGGTGGCAGAGGGAACAGGTAGCCCCCACCTAAGCTCAGAATCAGGTGGGGGAGGCTCCTCCCCCGCTGCCTGGTTGGTGGGGGTAGTGGGGGAAGGGGAGGCTTGGTACACTGATGGCTCTATCCTGTATCTGCCAGCCTCTTCCCAGGCCTTCTCTTGTCTCTGTCTCCTGTAGAGGAAAAACCACACCTCCGGCAATGCCAGGGGTTAATTCACTTACTCAGAGTTATGCAAGTTGCAAGCCAGGATCTGATTCCACATTATACTGCCTGACTTAAAGACTTCATTCACTGGGGTCCTTGCTCGAGGATCCAGGGGTCCTTTCCTTTTTTTTTTTAATTAATTTATTTGAAAGGCAGAGCTACAGAGAGGCAGTGGCAGAGGCACAGAGAGAGAGGTCTTCCATCTGCTGGTTCACTCTCCAAATGGCCGCCATAATGGCTGAAGCTGGACTGATCTGAAGCCAGGAGCCAAGAGCTTCTTCCAGGTGTCCCACATGCGTGCACTTGGGCCATCCTCCACTGCTTTCCCAGGTGCATTAGCAGGGAGCTGGATCAGAAGTGGAGCAGCCGGGAGGGGAACTGGCACCCACATGGGGTGCCGGCACTGCAGGCGGCAGCTTTACCTGCTATGCCATAGCACTGGCCCCTCCTTCCATTTTTAATGGCTACCCCAACCCCCACTCCCACCATTCTGTTGGTCTAGCAGTGAATGCTTTTCAAAAAAGCTCCGTCAATATCATTGGATCATCTCAACAACCCTGTGAGTTTGGTGAGTCAAGGATGGGTGGGCCCACTCTATAGATGAGAACACCAGAGTGCACAGGGGGCAAGTGGGTGGTTCCTGGGGCACACAGCACAGCAGTGCCACAGCTAGACCTCCAACTCAGGCCTCCGGCATCCTCTCCAGGGCTCTGCTTCCAAACCACGGCTGTGTGCGCACCAGGGGGCCGCCAGGAGCACTGGGGGCTGCTCGGAGGGGGTCTGCCCCTCAGTTAAGAAACAGTGCCAGTTACACTCAGGCTCCCTAGTGCGGCCCAGGGGTTCCACACCATGACCCTGGCGTGGCCCCAGTCTCCAGGGAGGGCCCATGCTCAATTATAAATGTTGCTCTCTCTCTCCCTCCCTCATGCTCATAAGCTTAACCACAATCTGGTTTTTAAGATGTACTTATTTATTTATTTGAAAGCAAAGAGAGAGAGAGAGAGAGAATGACCTTTCATCCACTATGCACTCCCCAGGTGCCTGCAGCAGCCAGGGCTGGGCCAGGTCGAAGTCAGGAGCAACGAATTCAATCCGGGTCTCCCACATGGGCAGCAGGGACCTGAGTACTTGAGCCATCACCTGCTGCCTTCCAAGGTGAGCATTAGGAGGAAGCTGGAGCGGGAGATGGAGCCGAGAGTTGAACCAGGTGCTCTGTGATGGATGCATGTGTCCCGGGCAGCCAAACACCCAGCGCTCACAGTCGTTTTAACACTGCTTCTGTGTGCTTGCGGCTGTGTTGAATATGCACCACCTCGCTGAATTCTCATCACCACTTGAGGAGTCAGGTCCTTGCTGTCCATTTATGCTCATAGCTGCAGAAACAGGTGCTCAGGAAGGTTAAGCGGCATGCCCAAGGTCGCACAGCAGCAAAGCCCGAATTCCAGCACGAGGCCGCCTGACTTCAAACCACAGCGATGCTCTCTCTGCTCCCGGGCGACTCAAAGAGGCTCTGAGAGCTGATCGCTCAGGTGCTGGGGAGAGGGCAGGGAGCAAATCATTATGGTTCCTGCTCTCATGACAGCTGGAGCTTAGTGGAAGAGATGGACAGGAAGTCCACAAGTGGAGACAGCATGAGTCCAAATGGACAAGGATAATGGGTGGGCAGTGGCTGGAGGGGAGGTGGGGGGTGCGGCAGAGGAGGTTGTGTTACCCAGGATGGTCGCGACAGGCATTTCTGGAGAGGATGACTCAGCAGACACCCCAGTGGGGAGGAGGCGGTCTTGTCAGCTGTCCGTGGCCAGAGCTGATGCTGTGGACACCGGCGTGTTCAGTTCGAGTCCCAGTTGTTCCCCTTCTGATCCAGCTCCGTGCTGCTGAACCCGGGAAAGCAGTAGATGAGAGAGAGAGAGATCTTCCATCTACGGGTTCACTCCCCCAAATGGCCACAACAACCAGGGCTGGGCCAGGCTGAAGTCAGAAGCCAAGAGCTCCATCCAGGTCTCTCCAGCATGGGTGGCAGGAGACCCAAGCACTTGAACCATCATCTTCTGCTTTCCCAGGCACATAAACAGGAAGCTGCACTGGAAGTGGAGCAACCCGGGGCTCCAGCTGGCACTTGGAGATGAGATGCCGGCACTGCAAGCGACGCTGAACCTGCTGTGCCGTAATTCCAGCCTCTCTGGGGCATTCTTTTGCCAAAACATCATTTACCATTCATCCAAATTTCATTTTTTAATGAGGCCTACTGCATTGTCCCAGACGATCCTATGTGTGTGCTCACAGAAGAGTTTGAAGCAGGGAGACCACTTGGGCAGATGAACATTTTGGGAAGCCCTCAGGAGCGGTGGGAAAATGGACCGGAAGGAGACCAGGAGGAGGCCGGGGGTGCGGTTCCTGCTATCGCGCAGGCCAGGGAGCAGATGAGGCTTCCCCACTGGGCTGTGGGGGCATCTTATCATGTCTGCCGACTCTTCTGCCTCCTCCACTGGGCAGGTGGCCTTGGAGAGACGCCTCAGCTGATGAAGTCCCCGGGGACCGCACACCAGGTGAGACCCCAGCTCTGCCATGTGAGCCCGTGGGCTGCACTGCTTCCTCCCAGACCCTCAGTGTTGTCTTCTGTCCAACAAGGCAGTCAGACAATCAAAGAGCAGGTGCAGAGGCTCTCTCTGCTTCGGCCATCCCGCGGCTCTCCACCCAGCTTCTCTCTCTCTCTCTCTCTCTCTCTCTCTCTCTCTCTCTCATCTCTCACTATGGTGACAAGTCCACATCTGAGATGTGGGGCTCAAGTGTCACCGTCCTGTGTGTCCTGATGTCGTGTTTCCTTCCACTGTCACTGTGGCCGATGACCAGTGCATGATGGACACTACCCATTGCCTCTCTCCGGCCTCACCTCCCATGCCTGGTTTTTACGAGAAGGATCTTGGTGTTTGGTGCTGGCCTACTACCCAGCAGCAGTTCCATAGCAAGGCACTGCCTTCATTTTTTTTTAAAGATGTATTTATTTGAAAGTCAGAGTTACACAGAGAGAGAAGGAGAGGCAGAGGGAGAGAGAGAGAGAGAGAGAGAGCGAGCTTCCATCTGCTGGCTCACTCCCCAATTGGCCACAACGGCCAGAGCTGCACCAATCCGAAGCCAGGAGCCAGGAGCTTCTTCTGGGTCTCCATTGCGGGTGCAAGGGCCCAAGGACTTGGGCCATCTTCCACTGCTTTCCTAGGCCATAGCAGAGAGCTGGATCAGAAGGGGAGCAGCCGGGATTCGAACTGGTGCCCAGATGGGATGCCGGCACTGCAGGCAGCGGCTTTACCCACTACGCCACAGCGCCAGCCCGTCCTCAATTCGTAGACAAGAAAACTGAGGCTCCGGGGCTCCAGGTAACTGCCCCGGTCACACAGCAGATCTGGCTGGTGCCAGTGCTCTGCCCTCCCGCTGTCTCCAGGAAATGTCCCCCCTCCCCGAGAGCCCCCTAATCCCCCATTCATTTGGCACTTGGGCTCGGTCAGCAGAGTCCTTGTCCCACCACGGGCGCACGCTGTCCCTGCTCTTTCTGAGTTAAGCCGGGGACTAACATGGGTTGGCATAAATAATCTGCCTGGGGGCTTTAGTTCACGAAGCCCTTTCCCATCCGTGCCCGCCCCACGACCCCGTGGGGACTCCGCACAGCCCCTTCCAGCTCGTGGAGCCTGGAGTTCTGCCGCAGTAAGGGCCGCATTAAATATTAACGGGGCAGCTCCTGGCCCCTGGTGCGCTGACGTCAATTCCTGGGCTGCGGCGGCAGCTGCCTTCCCAAGGTGAAGCGGTGACCGGAATTCAGCAGGCTCTGGGTTGCCTGTCGGGCCTCGGAGAAGATGCTGCTAATGTAAGGTGTGGCAGGAATCCAACAGCTTTTCTCTGATCGCCTCGGCTCCTGCAGGGCTGGGGTAGCATCCTGATGCCGGTGTAATGCAACCAGGCACTGGGCAAATGTGCACCTGCTGTCTTCCAAGCACAGTGCTAGGCTCTGGGGATATGGCTGTGAGGATGATGGGGCCTCGTGGGCTCCCTGCTGGTGGAGGAGAGGAGACGCCCAGTGTCATAGGCCAGGAGAGGCGTCCATGCCAGCCTGGGGCCCAGGGACCCTTGCTTTTTGTTTTCCTTAGAGATTTACTCATTTATTTGAAAGGGAGAGAGAGAGAGAGAGAGAGAGAGAGAGAGAGAGAGAGAGAATCTTCTATCTGCTGGTTCACTTCCCAAATGACCACTGTGGCTGGGGCTGGGCCAGGCCAAAGCCAGGAGCCTAGGAACTCCATCTGGGTCTCTGATGTGAGTACTTGAGCCATCTTCTGCTGTTTTCCCAGGCGCATGAGCAGGGAGCTAACTCGGAAGTGGAGCAGCCGGGACTCGAACTGGTGTCACTCATGCAGAGGGGTGCAAGGGTGGGGTGTCTGTAACAGAGGATGTAATTGGATTCAATTCTGCATTCATGCAGTGCTGCTGGGTTAAGGAGCTTCAGCCAGGGCTTCCATGGACTCAGGCTGTGAACGAAACGCAGGCCCTGTGCTCAGGTGTTTCCGTTCTACCAGGGGCGTGTCAGTTTCCTAAGGAGGTGGTTCAAGCGACCAAGTGCGAAACCTACAGTCAACAAGAGACCTGGGTTCAAATCCTGCCCAGACTGTGGGTTGACGGACATCTCTCCGAGCTTCAGTCTGCCTGTTTCGTGGGTAGAAGGGCAATGGTTGTCATGAGGATTAGGGGAGATCACGTATGACATCAAGCCACGTGCTTGTCACCCAGTAGCTGTCCAGTGAGCACCGATCGTAGCCAAGTCGTTCAGTGCAGGTGGCAGATACCAGAATCACAGTGTGAGTGGGTGGAAGGCGAGAGTATTTTTTGCCGAAGAAACCAGGGAGGCTCTTTAGAGGAGGTAAGAATTATTCTGGATGTTAAAGGACTGAAGCAGCAGAGAACGGGGCGGGCGCTTGGCACAGGGGTTAAGATGGCGCATGAGCAGGGAGCTGCTGCCTGGGATGCCGGCATCTCCAGTCCTGGCACTGCTTCAGATTCCATTTCCCGCCGATGTGCACCCTGGGAGGCGGATGGTAACAGCCCAGGTCACTGGGTCCCTGCCACCCACACGGATGGAATTCCAGACTCCTGGATTCAGCTTGGCCCAGCTGCTGCAGGCATTTGGGGAGTGGGACTAGCAGATGGAAGATCTCTCTTTCTACACTTGATCTTAGCCAAAAGGCCGAGAAGCGATCTCTCTCTCTCTCTCTCTCTCTCTCTCTCGCCCTCTTTCCCCCCCTTTCAAATAAAAAGAAATGAACTGAAGGAAAAAGCAGCAGAGAATGAGGTGGAGGGGTGGGAAAGAACTGTCTAGAAACTCTTGGGCAGGGTCCTGGAACCTGGCGGACGTAGGCTATCCAGGGAGTGGGTGATGACCTTGGCGAGATGGGCCGGGTCATGTTGGGAAGGCCAGGTGGAGCGGTTTCTGTCTTGAGGGCAGCTCAGCGCTGTGGGGAGATGAGCCCGCTGGAGTCAGCCCTCTCCTGCAGCTTTGCTCCTCTTTGCTTCCTGAGCCGGGGACGGGAAGAAGACAGAAGGCAGTGGCAATCTGCTTGCCTCCTACTAATATTCTGGGGAGGAAGAGATGATTTTAGCACAGTTGCCTGGGCGCGAACCGTGGTGCCTGCTCCGCATCCGTCTCCCTCCCTTCCCAGGGTTCGGTTCAGGCAGCAGTGAATCGATGACAGGCTCACAGCTCTGCAACCAAAACAGTGTTCTCCGGTTCTCAGAAGGTTGCGGTTGGCAGCGGGAGGGGTGGTGAGGAAGGAGGGGTCTGGAACTGGCTCCTGCTCCTACTCTCTGTGCCGGAGCTAAGCAAGACAGCTCACTGCCCTGGGCCTTGTTTTCTTTATCTGTGAGCTTGAACAACAAAAACAACCTCAGGGGCAGCGGGACAGCAGCAATAACTATATTTTAATATACAATTTATTTACTTATTTATGTATTTGAAAGGCAGAGAGAGAGAGAGATGGTTGCAATGGCTGGGGCTGGTCCAGGCTGAAGCCGGGAGCCAGAAGCTTCGTCTTCTGCTGCTTTCCCAGGTGCACATGCAGGGAGCTGGATCGGAAGCAGAGCAGCCTGGACTTGAACTGGAGTTCTGATGTGGGACGCTGATGATGCAGGTGGCAGAGTAGCTCGCTGTGCCACAATGTGGGCCCCAGGAGGAATAGCTTCTAATGTTCTATAGCACAGCAGGGTAACTGTGGTGACCACAATTAATCAAATATCTCCGAACAGCAAGTGGAGAGAACTTTGAATGCTTCCAATGCAAAGAAATGGTCAGTGTGTGAGATGATACCTATGCCAGTTCCCTGGATGCGGTCACTGTGTCTGTGGAATGCAGTGTGGTCATTGTGTCCATGGAATGCAGTGTCATACTGTGCCCTGTGAATATGTACCAGGGAACTTCAACAAGTTATGGAAATGAACTGAAAACATATTCTGGTGCAAAAAGAGTTGAAATCCATGCATACTTTTCTCATGATACACATTTTCCATGAACTTTTGGACGACCCCCCTCCATGCCAAAATTTTTTGCACCAAAATAAGCCTATATTTCAATGCCAGTTTCTATGAACTTTTTGTACAATTACTATTCTGTCCATTTAAAATCAATTACAGGGGCCAAGAATGGTGCGGTGGGATGAGCCACTGCTTGGGATGCCCATATCCCACATTGGGGTGTAGGCCGGGAGTCCTGGCTCCTCTGTGTCCAATCCAGCTTCCTGTGACTGCACCCTGGGAGGCAGCAGGCGATGGATCAAGTACTTGTGTCCCTGCCACCCACATGGGAGGCCTGAATGAAGTCCTGGGCTCCTGGCTTTGGCCTGGCCCAGCCTGGGCTGTCGTGGGCATTTGGTGAACCAGCAGATGAAAGATCTCTCTCTCTCTCTCTCTTTCTCTCTCTCTCTCTCTCTCACATGACCTGCCTTTCAAGTAGATGACGGGGGCCAGCACTGTGGCGTAGTGGGTAAAGCTGCCACCTGCAAAACCAGCATTCCATATGGGCACCAGTTTGAGTCCTGGCCACGCCACTCTCTGCTGTGGCCTGGGAAAGCAGTGGAGAATGGCTAAAGTGCTTGGGCCCCTGCACCCTCATGGGAGACCCAGAGGAAGCTCCTGGCTCCTGGCTTCAGATCAGCCCAGCTCCAGCCATTGCAGCCATTTGTGGAGTGAACCAGTGGATGGAAGATCTCTCTCTCTCTCTGTCTTTCCCTCTCTGTCTATAACTCTACCTTTCAAATAAATCAATAATCTTAAAAAAATTTATATTTGAGGAAAAAAAGTAGATGAAAATAAACATTTATAAACTAAGGGCCAGTGCTGTAGCATAGTAAGTTAAGCCTCCGCCTGTGGTGCTGGCATCCCATATGGGTGCCAGTTCATGTCCTGGCTGCTCCTCTTCCGATCCGGCTCTCTGCTATGGCCTGGGAAGGAAGTGGAAGATGGCCCAAGTCCTTGGGCCCCTGCACCCATGTGGGAGACCTGGAAGAAGCCCCTGGCTCCTGGCCTCAGATTGGTGCAGCTTCGGCCATTGCGGCCATTTGGGAGGTGAACCAGTAGATGGAAGACCTTTCTGGCTCCCTGTTTGTAACTCTACCTCTCAAATAAATAAAAAATATTTTTAAAAATAATGTATAAAAATAAATTACGCACACACACACACACACACTTTAACAGTAATAATAGGGAACGGGTATTTAGCCTAGCAGTTAAGATACCAAACACCCACGTTAGAGTGCCTGGGTTTGATGCCCAGCTCCACTCCAGATCCAGCTTCCTGCTAGTGCATGCTGGGAGGCAGTGGATGATGTTAGCCTGGGTGCTTCGGTTCCTCCCACCCATGTGAGAGACCTTGATTGAATTCTTGGCTCCTGGCTCCAGCCCTGGCCGGGCCTTAGCCATTGTAGGCATTTGGGGAATAAACCAGTGGATGGGAGCGCTTTTTCTTTGTGCCTCCTAAAAAGAAATAAAATAAAATACTGACCTCTGCTTACCTGGCTGGGAGTGTCCTGGCTCTTGCCGCCCCACGGCGGGCTATGGGGTCGGAGTTGGTGTCCTTTTTCATTTCCTGTATTGATGTGGTCCAAATGCTTGGCTTCTGAACCATCCGTTTCTCCTATTGAGCTGTGAGGCCGCTGTTTGCTGACCTTGCCCTGGTAAGACACCCTTCACCTTGAAAGCTGGAAACACAGAAGATGCTTGCCGTCCACCCACCAGCACAGCCTTCCATTCTACAGATAGGAAACCCCAAGGCTCGGAGGTAAAGGCGTGGCATCCTCAGGCTCTGCTCCAGCTTTGCTCAACCGCAGCAGCCCCTCCCCAGGTGGGAACTGTGCAGAGCCTCGAGGCCATTCATTATCCAGAGGGTCCACGCCAAAGGATCTCGAAAATTCTCTGAGAAACACAAACTCCCAGGCCATCTGCAGAACTGAAGCAAAAGCCTTTTTTTCCTCTGGATTTTAACTGCGATTGCAAAAGTAACATCTTTGCCTTCTCCCCCGGAGCTGGGCTCCTCTGAGCAAGCACCGGGGAGGTGGGTGCTGCGAATGGGCTGTGAGCGCCACCAGCTCACAGATTGCCGCTACGAGGACATTTGGGCGCTTCTTAGTGCCAGAAGCTGCCTTGGGTGGCGGTCTGCTTTCGGGACTAGCTTTGGAAGAGCCCTGGATGCTCCTGAAATGAACTCAGGCTAAGTCCTAGAGATGGCGGGTATGGTGGGAGGGACAGGATTTGGCACAGAAGGACACCGCGGTCAAGGCACATAGCAGGAAATAGATGTGCGTGGAGGAGGCTTTGAGTGGCTGCAAGCATCTGACACTTCATTTTTTTTCTTTTTTTTTAAGATTTATTTATTTATTTATTTGAAAGAGTTATGCAGAGAGAGAGAGAGGGAGAAATCTTCCATCTGCTGATTCACTCCCCAGTTGGCCACAATGGCTGGAGCTGTGCCATTGTGACAGGCAGAGTTAGACAGTGAGAGAGAGAGACAGAGAGAAAGGTCTTCCTTCCATTGGTTCACCCCCTAAATGGCTGCTACGCCAATCCGAAGCCAGGAGCCAGGAGCCAGGAGCCAGGAGCTTCCTCTGGGTCTCCAATGAGGGTGCAGGGGCCCAAGGACTTTGGCCATCTTCTACTGCTTTCCCAGGCCATAGCAGAGAACTGGATCAGAAGTGGAGCAGCCGGGACTCAAACCCATATGGGATGCCGGCACTGCAGGCGGCTTTACCAGCTATGCTACAGTGCTGGCCCCCAGCATCTGACACTTCTAGCTCTCAGTTTCTCCATCTGTGTCACAGAGACGGCAACCTTCACCCAGAGGAGGACTCGTGAGATGACAGCCGAGGATAAAGTGTTGATGCTCAAGCCAGGCAGAGGGAATGCAATTAACAAGCAAGAACTGCTGTGGATGCTGCTGTTGGTGGTGTTATTATGGTCGACTGGGGATCATCTTGCCAGTGGTCACCTGGGCAGTAGGTAGCCTGGAGTGCCCCGGAGGAACAAACAAACAAAAAATCAGCAAGCGACGCCAATTTGTGTGCAGGTGGCTCCTCCAGCGCACTGGGGTAACCATGGCAACGGTGTGAACGCCATCACTCGGGGACAAAACCAGGTCTTTGTCAGATGTCCCTCGGTGTCCAGACTTCTCAGGAAGCTCCGAGTGTTCCAGAATAACTGAGAAGAAAAAAATAAAATAAAATAAAATCGGGACTGGCTTTTCTGGGTCATCTGTTCACTGGGCTCCGCAGGAGAGCTCTGGGAATGCTTTGGAAATCAGCCTCGCCCGGCGGTTACCGTCGGCTCAGGGCGGGATGAAGGAAGAAGGGCTTATCATGCTCATCTCCCTGCGATGGCTGGTGCGCTCCGTATGCATACAGGTGCTTGCTGTTCCCCTCAGCCGTCCTAGCCAACACATGTGCTTAGACCCTTACTGCAGGTACCTCACCCCAGAGACTGCAGCTGGTACGTGAGCACAGCAGGATTGGAACCCAAGTCTAGAAGCATGTTCTTTCTTCTTGTTCTGCAACACACAGGTCTTCAGAAAGCCCGGTGAGGGATGTGGTTTGCATGGGTCCTGGAGTGGAGACCTCGTACCAGGTGAAGATGCAGACCTGGCCTCTGTGCTGGGGAGCTGCTCTGAGCCCTGGGACAGCGGTGTGTGTGTTTGATATGAGTCGCTGGCTTCCTTCACCTCGTTCAGGACTCTCTTTGGAGTTGTTCAAAGGCTGTGTTGATTGATGGGGACGTAGAGCCCTGGGAGTAGGTGACCTGTATCCCAGGTGGATGTCCTGGAATTTGTTTATGAGGCTTTGAGGAGTTGGCAGCTCTCTTCTGAGGGCAAAGAAAATGGGTGCTGGTCGGAGGGTGGGGGGTACAAGGTGAGAAGCTGTGTGGTTGTGTGTGTGACACTGATTTATTTGAAAGAGAGTGAGAGAGAGAAAGAGGGAGAGAGAGAGAGGGAGGGAGAGAGGGAGAGAGAGAGAGAGATGAGAGGGAGTGAGAGAAGGAGATCGTCCATCTGCTGGTTTACTCCCCAAATGCCCACAACTCCATCCACGTCTCCCAAGTAGATGGCACAAATCCAATACTTGGACCATCATTTGCTGCCTCCAGGCGCATTAGCAGGGGGCTGGTTCGGAAGCGGAGGTGGAACTGGATCCCAGGCGCTCTGATATGGTACATGGTGTCCGGCCCTGAAGGAACAGCATCACCTGGAGCCCTTCCCAAGCATGGGGCTCTCAGGCTTGGCAGTCTGATGGACCAGCATTTGAATCCCGGTTCTTCCATTCCCTGCTGTGTAACTTTGCTCAGGCCATGGAACATTTCTGAGTGTGGGCCCTCCTCTGTAAAATGGGACGGGAAGTTGTGCACACCTTAGAGGTATTTTGAAGGGGCAAAAAAGAAAAAAAAAATAGAAGCAGATCCATCTCTGCAGAGCACCTGACTCAGCACTGGAGACATGGCAGATGGTCCCTTTCCTTCATGAACGAGCAAGGCTGGGGCAGAGTGAGGAGGTAAGGCAGAGTGAGGAGAGGGCCTTGAACTTGAACAGAGGAGCCCTGGCACTTCTAGGGGAGGAGGGGGCTAGAAGACAAGCTCACACAGGAGACGGACAGATGAGGAGCAGCTGGAGCAGCAGGTGGGAGACAGGAGAGTACCAGGCGCAGGGCACTCAAGAGGCCCAGGGAGCTGTAGACCATGTCACATCGTTGGATTTGACAAGCAGGCTTCCAGTTCTGGGAGCTGGCAAATCTTAAGGGCATGGCGCTGACCCCTACTCAACATCTGGCGAGGACACTCATTGCACCATCCCATGACAGAAGGCGGAAGAACCAAAAAAGGGCCCTAAGCGAGTTCCTTCCAGTCCCTTTCTAATCAGAAGTAAGCTTCAGCCTCGCGACATAAATACCTCTTACTAGGTCCTACCTCCCTAGACAGTGGCATCGGGGATTAAGCTTCTAAGCTTTTTGGGGGAGTCACAAACCATAGCACAGTCAATGTCAATTATTATTTTTTTAAAGATTTTATTTATTCACTTGACAGGTTATAGACAGTGAGGGAGAGATAGAGAGGTCTTCTATCCACTGGTTCACTTTCCAAATGGCCGCAACGGCTGGAATTGGGAAGCCAGGAGCCAGAAGCCTCCTCCAGGTCTCCCACACAGGTGCAGGGGCCCAAGGACTTGGGCCATTCTCCACTGCTTTCCCAGGCCATAGCAGAGAGCTGGATCAGAAGAGGAGCAGCCAAGACTAGAACCAGTGCCCATATAGGATGCTGGTGCCACAGGCAGAGGATTAACCTACTGCACCACAGCGCCGGCTCCAACGTCAATTATTTAGAATGCTCCAGCTCTATCTAACTTTCCCTGTTTTGAAATGAACCGCAATCCAACTTGACCAGAAGAACTGGAATGAACCGAGAAAGTCTCCTCCACCCAGGATTGGCCCTCCTCTCACTTCTCAAGGAACCCTATCCTCTCGGATGATTAATTACTATTCATCACGCTTGTTAAAGATATTCCCCAGGAGCAGAGATCAGCCTGGCTCGTTAACCTCGATTCCAGCGGCAAAAGTGACTCTTCAAAGCATGGTGAAGTTTGGCGTGAGAACTTTTTCCCAGCCTGCCTCTCAGAGCTTGCTTCCCGGGTACCAAGGTCCCCATTTTAGCCTCATGGGCAGGCAGAGAGAGGCCTGGAGGCAGAGAGCTGGTGTGGAAGCCCCAGCTCAGCTCACTGACTGCACACAGTGGGCCCAGCCGCTCCTCCTTAGAACTCAGGACAAGGGGGTTGGGCCGTGGTGAAGCGGAAGGTCTCATCAGCTACGCCTTTCCAAGGTGCCGACTTCTAGTCTGTAATTCTTTGAGCAGCTCTTCAAGCCCAGTTTTCATGTCTTTGCCTGACTTTCTTCTCCTTCAAGAGCCAGCTTACATGCTCTTAAAAAAAAAAATGTTTTCCCCCATTTTATTTGAAAGGTAAGTAGAGATATCGTCCATCCACTGGTTCACTCCTCCAATGCTCACAACAGTCGGGGCTGGGCCAAGCCAAAACCAGGAGCCCAGAACTCCATCCGCACCTCCCCTCGGCGGCAGGGGAACAATTACTGAAGCCATCCCCGCTGCCTCCCCGGGTGCACATTAGCAGGAAGCTGGACCGAGGACCACAGCCGAGATTCGAACTCAGGCTGGGCCCCAGGCTGCTCTGTTGCTGCTTGGATCTCTGCTGTTCCGGGCAGGGACGCGTACTCTGTGCAGGGAATAGAGTTGGGTGCCCAGCCTCTCCCCCAGGTCCTGTGCTGTCCTTTGTTGCACGTCCCTAAGGTCCTGGCTGTATCACTTCGCGGCTCTGTAACCTCCCGCAAGCCGCCCACCCGGCTTTGCCTCTGGTTACGGGGCGACCAGCTGCGTCCACTCCCTGGAGTGAGGATTACATGAGGCCCTGCCTATAAGGGCCCAGCTCCGGGTCGCCTGCTTCCCAGCCAGCAGGTGTCCCTGAGCGCCACTGTCCGAGGCGCCACCCGCCCCCCCGGACCTCCTCGTGGACGCCACAGTCGGCCCCAAGACCACTTCTCGGGGTGGGTGGGAGCCCAGTGGGTGTGCAGGGGCGGGAACGGGGCTGCCCCGGAGGCCAGACCCGACCGGGCGCGGTCCCGCGGCCAGACCAGACTCCGGCCAGCGCGGGCGGGTCCGACCCGGCCCTCAGGACGCGCGGCCTCCCGGCCTCTCCCCAAAAGCGAATTTGTGTGCTTTTTGTGGGGTGGAGGGCTCCTCTCAAGCCAGATCCCTAGCGTGGACTCCGGGACGCTATCCAGGACTCAGCCGCCATCACAGCGCCCCCTCCTCAGCTCTGCAGTCCCCACCCCGGCTCTCCTCCCCTCACCTCCCACCTCCACCTCTGCGGCGGTAAAATGCAGCACTCACACGGCGCCTGCGCGGCTCCCGGGCGGGGCGGCGGCGGCGGCTATTTATAGTAGGTGACGTCACCTTGAAATAGACCGTTAGGGCTGGCCTGCCCTTCCCCCCCTCCCACTCCCGCCGCCCGGCGCGGCGGCTCCCAGTGCGCAGGCGTCGCCCCGTCCTCCCCTCCCCCGCTGCCCCCCGCGCGGCTGCCTCTCCTCCCTCAGCGGCGTCCTCGGCGAGAGCCAGAGCGCGCGGGGCGAGCCAGCGAGAGGGCGCGAGCCGCGGCGCTGCCTGCAGCCTCGGGCCGGCCGGCGAGCCAGTGCGCGTGCGCGGCGGGCTTCCGCGGAGACCGGGCAGCGGACGGGCGGGCGAGCGAGCGAGCCGTGTGGGGCGCGAGGCGAGGCCGAGCCGCGAGCGACATGGGGGACCGTGAGCAGCTGCTGCAGCGGGCGCGGCTGGCCGAGCAGGCGGAGCGCTACGACGATATGGCCTCCGCCATGAAGGCGGTGAGCGCGCCGGGAGCCCGCGCGTGGCCGGCCGGGGGGCCCGGCGTGGAGGAGGCGGGATGGGGCGGCGGGCGCTGGGTCCCGCTCCGGGCGACCCTGCTGGGCGCGGCCGCCCGCCCGCCATTTCCTGACACCGGGCTCTGGGTGGGGTGGGGTGGGGTGGGGTCCCCGGGGAGGGAACCGCTCAGGGTCGCGAAGGCAGGGGGACCGGGCGGGCGGGCGGGGGTCGCTGCATCCTCAGCCGTGAGGGAAACGGGAGGGAGCCGCAGCCCTTCTAGACGCTTCTACGGGATCTGGGGGCTCACACCTCCTTCCCGCCTTTCTCCAAGGCCCTCACTTGTTTCCAAAAAAAAAAAAAAAACAAAAAACCAAAAAACCACCTTGGGGAGTGGGGCCCTGCCCTGGGTTTCTCAGCCACGATCTGAAACCTGTGCAATCCGAAATTCCTTTCGGCTCTGCTTGCCTGGATCGTGCTTTGCCTACCTTCGCACGCCCGGGGTCTGGCTTTGTGTGCGAAGACCCCCCTCCCTGCATTCCAGGCGGGTGGACGCGGGCTCGGGGTGGAGGGTGGGGAGCGGGGCGGGGGGAGGCCGTGGCGCCCCAGGTTGGGTGTCGCGCCCTCTGCCTGGAGGCTGAGCCTGCTTGCAGGCAGGGGACAGGCACCCGTGTGCCTTTTGCTTCCCCGAGGCCATCACAGGTCCCCATTCTGCAGCTCCATTTCCGGGGAAGGAGTGGTGGCCGGCCACACCCTAGCACATACCGTGGATTTAGACACCACCTGCGGTTCTGAGACTCCCGAGTTCCGAGTTCCGGTTACCAGCTCGCTGTCCCTGACGCTTCGTGTTATCTTACATTGTCTCCAAATGAACGCTGCTTCTCCCTGGCTCAAGGTCACACGGCCAGGAGAGCCGCGTGCTGGGTTCATCCAGCGTACGACCTGGGAGGAGCCTCCTTGAACTCCACGATCTTGATACCTCCCAAAGAGTCAGAAATTCTGGGGCTGAGACTCCGAAAAAATGCATCTTAGCCAGCTTGGTAGGCAGGCTTTAGTTGGCTTAAGCTGGATGGGAGCGCCTGTGTCGTTTTGCTGGCTTTTGGAAGAGATTTCTTAAAAAAAAAAAAAGGCAAATTTATAAGCTCCCCAATATTTTAGAATCATTGAAAAAGCTCATTTTAAGGCTTTTGATAATAGCGGGTGACATAGGTAGCTGAGACCAGTATTTCGGATTTTCCAAGTGAGAAAGACAAGTAGGTGAGTTACCCTTCTATGATGTCCTTGTCACTGTCACGCGTTTAGCTGCATGGGTTGGGAAGCCCGCAGCCCACAACGCATTGGTGCATTGGTGAACCTGTATGCTATTGTGCTGAGCTAGGAGCCCTTCATGCAAACAAGGGAACCGCCTAGATGGGGGGGGGGGGGGGGGAGTCTGATCTTAAATTCTGGGGGCTTTTAAAAAAAATGAATCTAAAGTACAGCGTTCGCAAATCTTACAGAAACGATAGTGACTATGAGAGCATGTCCATGAAGGGACCCGAAAGCTTGATTTTGGGTGTGAGGGGCTGTAATTCTGCCTCTGTTCCTGCATCAAGTCACATTTAGAGGGGCTGGTTCTCCGCTCTGCCTGCCTGCTACTGGGGTTAATGCTGCCCGGGGCCTTTGCCCGCCTTGTGAGCTGCAGTATTAGGAGTCCTTTGGGAAATGGAGATTTGGAAAGAAGGGATGGGGCCTGAAGGTGAATTGAGGTTAAGGAAAAAACAGCTGGAAGGTACATTCTGGGAACCTGAGGCAGCCTGCGTTGGGAAATAGGAAAGAAGGGGGAGAGGTGTTCTCAGAACAAAATTGAGTTTTGAGTAAGAGAAAAAAATTGGCCTCCTGATCTAGATAAGCAGGCTTGAAAAATGCTTTCCTGCTGCAGCTGCCACTGCTTCTATGGCCGTGGCTGGAGGCGTTAAGATAGGGTTTTGCAAATAATGGACCCTTGAGCATGTCAGGAATCCGTAATGCCCATCTCTGAAATGATGGGTGGGTTGGAAAAGCCATCCAGCCTGGAGAATTCCACCAAGCTGCAATTATGTCATCTCGGAATTGTGATAAACTGTTCCCTCAGGGTGACTCCTGTGAAAGAACTTTTTTTTTTTTTTTTTTTTTTTTTTTGTCAATTTGCCTTGTGAAAAAAATATTTTATCTCGTTAATGGAACATCAGAAAGGATTTGGCAGGGTCCTTGGAGAGCACTTTCTTGTTTTCTATTGTTAAATTGTAGGTTGGATTCTTAATGTTGCTGGGGCCATCGGTCCCCATATTATTAGCATAGCCCCTAACCAGGGCTTGTGCAGAGTGACTTGGCAGGAAGCACCTGGGTTTATGCGGGCTTTCGTCAGGGAGGTGGAAGGGCAGGTAAGTGGACTAGGGAGGATGGAGCGGAACACCGGAGCCAGGGGGAGCCGCCCATGGCTCCTCTGACCTTGAAACTTGCGTCTCCGGGCATCGAGTAGAAAACCTGGTCATGGTGTTACTGACAAGTCTGTTTCAGTCTAACTTGTTCTGTCTCCTTCTAATTGAAACGGTCGCTTGGTAATACTGCCTGCCTGTAACGACTGATCCTTGTTCTACCAGCGTCACCTGGAGATACAGCGTGGGTAAGCTGTAAGAAGAATGCATACTGGAATCAACGGGGTGGCCTCAGATCGGCTCCGAATTAGAATTCTCTGCCTCACCTCTTAATTTGAAGAGGTCAGGAAATACATCGGGGGTGAAGCATAAAGAAGCATCTTCATTCAAGCTGTCCTCACACCTAGTGGCTTCATTATCCCGAGATTCTAGAACTTTCTAGAACCCACCCTTTCTGTGTAAGGCAAAGGAAGACCTTAACGCTTCTATTTCCCTAGTCTATTTTATGTTAAACACGTGGTAGCTGTGAAGTTGTAGAAGTGATCTGAACACTGATTGGAGGAACCAGGAGAGGCAGCTCTGGCTGACTTGGAACATTTAGAGCAAACTTGAGTGCAGGGAACACAAGTGCAGTTTAAGGAAACAGGAGACGGAGAGGAAGAGGCGCTTGGCCCAGCCAGTGGCAAAAGGCTCTGATTGCAACAGCTGTGAAGTCGTGGGAAGAGAGGAGACGAGCAGGTGGCGTGTAAATGGAGAGCATGACTGAGGGGCCCCGGGGAGAGGTGATCCCTGTGGCAGACAGTAACAAAGATGACGAGGTGTACCCAGGCTGGGGCTAGGGTGGGATGACTATTTGAGATGCCTAAAAAGTAGGGAGCTCTTTTTCTTACAGTGGTCAATGGCAGTAAATACTGGCTGAGGAAGGAAGAAGCCCTGGATTATTGCACTAGTCTGAATTACAAGGTACTGCAGGGGGCTAATACAGCTTTGCCGTCCTGAACGGTGGCCTCCATCTGGTTTGGGTTCCTGAGTTATGCCCACAGGAGTTTATTCCACGGTTAAGGATCCCAGTGCTCCCTTAAACCCAGAATGTGCTTGCTCATCTTTGGGATTTTATGCACAGACTGGGCCAGAAATAGTATGGTTTGGGAAAGGGGTACCCCAAATAGACCATGTGTCCCATCCAGCAAGTGTGTGGGATTTTCCATCTAAGTTCTCAGTAAGTAATCACCATTATTCCCTGTGGACATTCTCATTCAGTCTAACAGCTCTGGCTAGGTAGTGTTATTAACGCCATTTTACAAGTGAGACTTAAAGATTTTCTCACTATTGAATAAAAGCTGCTAAGTTGTCAAGCTGGGGCTTGAACTCTCAATTTGGCCACTATGTGAGAAGTCCCTGTGGCATGCAGTCAGGTTCCAAGCGCTTGCACAAAGTGGACCTACTAAAGTCCTCTCACCTATTGGATGCAAGTCATTTTAGCCAAGTTTGATTAGAAACAATCTACTGTTTATGGTTCTTTGTATGGCAGAGAAGTGGAAGAGGGAAAGTCATAAACCTAGATTTTGCTTGTTCTGAAGGCCGGCGTTTGTTAGCTCAGAGAGCCAAGTACTGGATTTGAGTTCCTGCTATGAATTAAGAAATGCAGGTTTATTTGGGTATTTCAAAAAAGTTCCTGGAAACCTGCACTATGATAAACTGCATGGATGCCTACATTGTGTTTTGCACCAAAATAAGGTTACCTTTTTAATTCCATCTCCCATGAACTTTCCGAGCTGCAATTTTTTCCCCCTTATCCTTGGCACCACTATGTCTCTATTACCTTTAGTGTGCAAGTCTCGTAGGCCCGCAGATTTGAGTTGCTGAAAGACGTGCCCTGTTGTCCAGGTGGAGGCAGCCCGCCTTGTGCTCTCTGCTGCCGTGGCATTCCCTCTGCAGTGCTGGGTGTGGGCACTTCCTGTGGCCCGGAACCTGGCTCAGCTTTTGAAGCTTTAAATCCTGCTGGCTCCAGGGGACAGTAGCATGTGCTAAAGCTATTCAGATGGGGCTGTATGTAATCCCTGCCAATCCCTGTGAAAATGTTGGGTGATGTCACAGGCAGGGCTTTTTTGTTTGATTAATATCAGCTTAGAATGAATATGGATTACCAAAAGTTGGTCCGCTCTGGGCTAGCATTTCAGCCTATCTGGCGGCCTGATAGCACTGTGGCCTCCCCCTGAGGCTAGGTAGGGTAGGTCTCAGCCTTTCCCAGCAGTAGGGCGTGGTCGCGTGGTCTCAGGCTGGGTAGTCTGCCATCTTGGGGCTGAGGCGGGATCCTCACTTCCTGTGTGTCATCTTGGGAAAGGGTCAGCCACAACTTGGATTCCTCTAGCTTTTTCTCGCTCTCAAACATTCAGGGCTCTGCCAGGGGGAGGAGGTTTTATGATGTGGTTATGTTTATCCAGTTGTTCACGAGAGTCATTTCCCTGTGTTATAAACTCCTATCAAAGGCAGGCCGGTTGGTGGTTTGTGGGTGTGAGCAGCTCTGGCAGGACCAGGCAGCGGCCGCGTGCGTGTAGGTGTGTGTAGCCAAGAAGGATGGGGGCTCTCAGGAGTGACTTCACCCCTGCCCTTGACAGTGCGCCTGGCAGCTCGGGGGCATTTTGTGTGCTCAGTATTACTTTTGATGCCGGATTTTTCCCAGATTAAGAACTTTGAATTTTCCTAAATAGTCCCTGTGCTATTTTTGGCAGTGGGTCTATTTTTACTCACAAACACATAGTTTATTGCCTTGTGGGTAGTGGGAGGAGGCCCCTAGGGATTTTTGAGTAAGCGAATGGTGTCACAGGAAGATAAAGAATTAGCAGGCTGGGTTGTTTGTGACTTTTGAGTAATGATGAAGAGAAAAATGGGTGAAGTGAGTGCCCTGGGCTTGGGAGTTGGTGTGGCCCAAGGCTGTGGTAAGGACATCAGTAGTGTGGCTGGCAGGAAGTCCAGTCCCTCAGGGAGGTGCAGGGGAGGGCCCTTTACAGGGAGGGGCTCGCCACTCGAAGGTCTTCTAGAACCGTGTGAGTAGGGTGGGAGGTGGGCAGGAGATCAGGAAGGCAGAGGCTGTGAGCAGGTGTAGGGGCATCCCCTTGAAGCGGGGTCGCAGCCATTTGAAAACTATGCCTAGAGCGGCTGTGCTGGAGGCGAGACGTGTAACTCCAGGGTTGGAACGGAAGGAAGGTTGAGAACAGTAGTCGAGGCCTCTTGTATGTGGAATTCTGTGTGTGGTCTTTGCTTCTTGTCCCTAGCTGGCTCCTTTGGAAGCTACGACGGTAGAGATGCCGGAACGCTCCTCTCGGTGTTTGCTGCACAGCCTGCTCCCTTCCGTGGCCCTGCGGCGGCCCCCGGGATCTGCCTGATCTCCGCATGGGCTCTGCTGGCCCTAGCAGTTAGGTAGTTGAAGTGTTGGGGACCGGTGCTAACATAGATGCAAGTTACTGCCGTGAAATGTCACCAGGCAAGACTGGTTGCAGTTTTTTGCCAGTAGACCGTCTGATTTCAATTTGGGGAAAGTGCAGTTTTCTTTAGTTGTCTGATCAAGTAGTAGGCTGCATTCCATTAGCTTCCTGTTAACCGAGTTATAACCAGGGGTATTTAAAAAAAAAAAAAAGATTCTATTTAAACGTACCCAGTTAGTCCCCAGCTGGGCTCTGGCTGGGGTCCTGAGGCGCGGTGTTTGCTTGCTGGGTTCTGTTAGTCACCCTCAGCTGATGCTGATAGTGATTCATTCAGACTGGCTGGCAACCAGCTGATTGTTACATAAACACCAACACGCCCAGTCAATGATTTTTCTCGAGAAGGTGTCATAAATACTGCCCAGTAGCCTTTTTTGGCAGTTTATTCCCGATGGAGAAGACTGTGCTCGTACGGCCGAAGGGACGCCCACACTTAGGTTACTAGGGTCACTCTGATGTCTTACCACACCTCTTAGTGGCACTCAGGAAAGATGGAATCGGACAGAGCTGGGGCCGAGGGAGGCCTCGGAGAGCCGTTGAGCTGATCCTGTGTGCTTTAGTTTCTCGTGTGAGGTCACAGCCTGCTCCCACTGAGCTGCAGATGCCCGGGGCTTGAGTGAGGACCCTGCTGCTTGTGCAGGCGCTGAGTGAAGTTGAAATGCTGCTCGGGCGTGCTCAGCGTTGATAGCACGCTGGACGTTGCCTCGATGCATCTTTGCAGTAGTCTCTCAGAAGCAGCTTTGTTAGTCACGGGCTGAAGCGGCCTGTGACTCCTTATGAGTGTCATTTATATCTTAATGTCAAGTGGCCTTAATTGGATTTAATTACTGCAAGATCTAAGGAGTTCTGTAAATTCTGTCCTTGCCTCGTGTTTTGTTTTACTGAGAAAAGTGAGTCACTCTAGGGAGGGCAAGCATCCTGAGACTTGTCAGAGCATTTGGGATGGAACTTTCAGATAGAAGGGTTGCTTTTTAAAAGACTAAATCATTCAGTAATCTGCAAAGCTTCTTTGTAGTTCCAGTAAGCAAATGTAAGTATGATTGTTTAAAGGCACCTACTGGAGAAGTCTGGGGAGGTTCCAGGTCTTTAACTGGGTTTGGAGGAAGCATGGATTGTGAATTGGTGGACAGGACATTTCTCTGGGCTGGGGCAGGTGTCAGTGAGAGAACATGGAGACTAACGCGTGCGTGAGGGCTGAGGCTCCCAGGCTTGAGTGGAAGGGAGGCGGCCCCCCAGGGGAATGGGCACAGCAGTTTCTGGCTAAAGACTGCCACCGAGGAAGAAAGGGGGTTGGTCAGTTGGACTAGGCAAAGGAAGAGAGAGAATCATGGGTTAAGAATTTGCAAAAAAGGATAGGGGTCCTGCGGCAGGGAAAGGGGAATTAGAAGAGGCAGTTATTTTATCTTGGCTGAGGCTTGGGGACGGGAGAGACTTCCAGGCACTGCTTGCTTTACTTTGTAAGGACTGACACAAATTTTCTGATTTTTACATAAATAATAATAATTTTTTGACAGAGTTAGACAGTGAGAGACAGAGAGAAAGGTCTTCCTTTTCCGTTGGTTCACCCCCCAGGTGGCCGCATGGCTGGCGCTGCACCGATCCTAAGCCAGGAGCCAGGTGCTTCCTCCTGGTCTCCCATGCAGGTGCAGGGCCTAAGCACTTGGGCCATCCTCCACTGCACTCCCGGGCCACAGCAGAGAGCTGGATTGGAAGAGGAGCAACCAGGACAGAATTCAGCGCCCCAGCTGGGACTAGAACTCGGGGTACCAGCGCCGCAGGTGGAGGATTAGCCAAGTGAGCCGCGGCACCGGCCAATAATAATGTTTGTTACTTAATGTTCTTGAAGTGCTAATTCTCAAATAAATCATTGCATAAAACTTGATTCTCCACTGCTCCATTTTCTCAGTCCATTTTAAGCATGTGTCTCTGCATGCACTTGGATAACTTTCTCCATTGAACTTGGTTTCCCTTGCATTAGTGGATGTCCTGTCATTACGATTTTATAATACTTTTTGGAAATATATTTATTTAGGCCGGCGCCGCGGCTCACTAGGCTAATCCTCCGCCTTGCAGCGCCGGCACACCGGGTTCTAGTCCCGGTCGGGGCGCTGGATTCTGTCCTGGTTGCCCCTCTTCCAGGCCAGCTCTCTGCTGTGGCCAGGGAGTGCAGTGGAGGATGGCCCAAGTGCTTGGGCCCTGCACCCCATGGGAGACCAGGAGAAGCACCTGGCTCCTGGCTTCAGATCAGCGCGGTGCGCCAGCCGCAGCGCGGCAGCCATTGGAGGGTGAACCAACGGCAAAGAAGACCTTTCTCTCTGTCTCTCTCTCTCACTGTCCACTCTGCCTGTCAAAAAAATAAAATAAAAAAATAATGTATATATATATTTATTTGAAAGAGAGGGCGGAGACAGACGTCTTCCATCCGCTGGTTCACTCCCCAGATGACTGCAGTGGCCAGTGCTAGACCAGGCTGAAGTGGGTCTTTAGCTGGGTCTCCCAAGAGCATGGCAGGAACCCAAACACTTGGGCAGTCTTAACAGGGAGCTCGACAGGAAGTGGAGCAGCCAGGATCCAAACCAGTGATCCATGACCGGCTCACTCGGAGTTGACGGCATAGAGCTCTGAGGGAGATTCCGGCTCGTCAGATGTAACTCTTCCACCTTGGGGCCCGGTCAGGGTGAAGCTAGCCGCTGGGTAGCTTTGCTTCCTTTCAGCAGAGGCTGAGGGCGTTTTATTGTCACTAACACATCGGTCTTTTTTAATGCGTATCTGACCTGTGATTGTACCTGTGCAAAGAGTAGAGCTGGAAGTAGAATCTGAAACACACTTCCTGTCCCATCTCTGAACACCTGTTCAGGGGATCCTGGTCTTCCATATCTTGCCGAGGAGGTGAAGCTCAGGTGTTTGTTTGCCATCGCTGTGGACCAAGCATCCTGCAGCCATTCTGTGGTCACCCTGATGCCTGTTCCTCCACCAGGATGAATGCAACATCTTAGAAGCCCTCAGCTGTGAATTTCTCGGGGTCTATCACATGGTGTTTTAAGACTATTCATCTCTTTGTCGGCCTGCAGTCTCCCTTCATCTGGGGTCCATTGGTCTTGTCCAGGATCGGCTTTTATTCCCCTGTCTGTAACCCTGTTCCTGAGCGGGAGTGTTGGTGGCGTTCAAGGAGAGTGTCTCCCAGGGGTTTGAGAGTCAGTTCTCAGTGTTTACCTTCAATGTTTTGCAGGTGACCGAGCTGAATGAACCCCTCTCCAATGAAGATCGAAACCTCCTGTCCGTGGCCTACAAGAACGTGGTTGGTGCCAGGCGATCCTCTTGGCGGGTCATCAGCAGCATTGAGCAGAAAACCATGGCGGATGGAAATGAAAAGAAGCTGGAGAAAGTGAAAGCCTACCGGGAGAAGATCGAGAAGGAGCTGGAGACCGTCTGCAATGATGTCCTGGCTCTGCTCGACAAGTTCCTCATCAAGAACTGCAATGATTTCCAGTATGAGAGCAAGGTGTTTTACCTGAAAATGAAGGGCGATTACTACCGCTACCTGGCCGAGGTGGCTTCCGGGGAGAAGAAGAACAGCGTGGTCGAAGCATCTGAGGCCGCCTACAAGGAAGCCTTTGAGATCAGCAAAGAGCACATGCAGCCGACGCACCCCATCCGGCTGGGCCTGGCCCTCAACTTCTCGGTGTTCTACTACGAGATCCAGAATGCTCCGGAGCAGGCCTGCCTCTTAGCCAAACAAGCCTTTGATGACGCCATAGCTGAGCTGGACACGCTAAACGAGGATTCCTATAAGGACTCCACGCTCATCATGCAGTTGCTGCGAGACAACCTCACCCTCTGGACGAGCGACCAGCAGGATGAAGACGCCGGAGAAGGCAACTGAAGCTCCTTCGGGTCCCCTGGCCCACCCTTCACCCACCACCCTCATCATCACCGATTCTTCCTTGCCACAATCACTAAGTATCTAGTGCTAAACCTATGTGTATTGGCAGCACAGCTACTCCGGGCTGCTCTCCTGTCCCTTGGGAAGCAGCTGCAGCTAAATCTTCATGGGCATTGCTGGACTGATGGTTACTTTGAGCCCACAGGAGCTCCCTTGTTGAGTTGTGCAGAGAAGTGAGTTCTGAATGGGGCATTTTACTATGCCTGTAGATCTATGGGAAATTCAGGCAAAGTAATGGGGGCGTTTAGAAAGGAGAATTAGCCAACACGGGCTACAGTGGATATTTAAAACAAGCTGATAGTGTTTTGTTAAGCAGTACATCTTGTGCATGCAAAAATGAATTCACCCCTCCCACTTCTTTCCTCAGCTAATGGGAAACTGTTAAGGGAAGCTGATACAGAAAGACAACTTGCTCCTTCCCGTCAGCTTTATGATAAACTGTTTAATGTGAGGTTTCAGTAGCGCCTTGTTTTGCCTCTTTAAATTATGACGTGCACAAACCCTTCTTTTCAATGCAATGCATCTAAAGTTTTGATACGTGTAACTTTTTTTTTCTTTTTTTGGTTGCGATTGTTTAAGAATCATGGATTTATTTTTTTGTAACTCTTTGGCTATTGTCCTTGTGTATTCTGACCGCGCCATGTGTGTCAGCCCACTGTCAATCAAGATGGGTGATTATGAAATGCCAGACTTCTAAAATAAATGTTTGGAATCCAATGGGTAAATAATAAATGCTGCTTTGGGGATATTGTCCATGTGTATGGTCTTGATTTTGCCCTCTTCCAGGAGCTGTTGAACCGGTTGTCACTTTGAAGCCCTGTGTAGGTCTCAAACATGCAGGCTTTTGTAGTACAGTACCCACGTTTTCCTGCCCTGTGAGCCTGTGACGTGTTTTGCAGCACACGTGTGAGACTCGGGGATTTTCAGCAGTTTCCTGTGAACCCAGCTGATAATCACTCTTCCCCGTAACTGATTTCTTGGAAGTGAGCCCAGCTTTCTTCCATAGTATAGCACCTCTGAAATGTTGTGGCCTGTGTGTAACTTGGAAAGGGGTTTAATGCCCTCCGGGGTGTTGATATTTGACACTGGAGGTAAATACTGAGCTCGGGCATGTCCTTAAATGTTCTTCATTTTATTTCTAGATTAGATGTAGTAAGACATTAATTAAGGGTACAACCTGGATCCCTGAAATAATCAAATGATTTTTTTTTAAAGGATTTATTAATTCATTTGAAAGGCAGAGCAACAGAGCAGGGAAAGAGAGCTTCCATCCATTGAGTCAATCCCGAAATGACCACAACAGCCAGGGCTGGGCCAGGCGAAGCCAGGAGCTCCATCCAGGTCTCCCACTTGAGCCATCATCTGCTTTCCAGGTTTAACAGCAGGGAGCCACAGTGGAAGCAGGGTAGCTGGGACTTGAACCAGCATTCTGATGATGGCTGCTGTTGTCACGGGCAATGGCTCAACCCACTGCAGCACGGTGCCAGCCCCAGTTTAGTGACTGTTAAAGCTTTCAGGATTTAAGAATGAAAAGCTGTGTTTAAAAAGCCTAACCCCTTCAATTCTCCCTCATTTGCTTCGCCCCCAAGGTGTCTCTTGAGACTTGGCTTCAATTAACTACCTTATGTGATGTGGTCTCTAGCTCACAATTCTTTCAGGTACCTAGGACTGAACATGTTCTAGTGGGTTAAACTGAGGTCTTTTTTTTTTTTTTTTTTAAAGAATTCTATTTAGGAAGAATTACAGAGAGAGGTCTTCCATTCCTCTGGTTCGCCCCCCCAAATGACTGCAACTGAGCTGAGCTGTTCTGAAGCCAAGAGCCAGGAGCTTCCAGGTCTCCACATGGGTGCAGGGGCCCAAGCACTTGGGACATCTTCTACTGCTTTCCCAGACCACAACAGAGAGCTGGATTGGAACAGGAGCAGCTGGGAACCCATGCCCATGTGGGACTCTGGCGCTGTAGGCTGGGGCTTTAACCCCACTGTGCTGCAGCACCGGCCCCAACACAGGCCTTAAAAACTTTGTTCAGTGCTGCTTGGCAGTAGACTGTCCTTGGATTTGTGTTGTGGATCATGGAACTCAAGCATGGGCATTTAAACTATCTCATTCTGAGGTAGAAATATGACCCCTAGGTCTATTAAAAAGTACTCTTAAGAAGCTGGTTCCAGGTTGACCCAATTTTAAGCTGAAATGGCTTTCTACAAGTTTCACTTCTATTCAGGTCAGGTATTTTAAAGCTAAAAGCTTTATGTGGCTGAGACATTTGGCTTTGATGTGACATAGGCAAAAAGTTGCTCTTACCTTTGAAGACTACTTCACAGTTGCTAAAGCACTGTGGAGCCTATTCCTCTTTGTTGTTGTTGTTGTTTAAAAATTATTAGAGATATTCTGTCTGCTGGTTTACTCCTCAAATGCCTGCAACAATCAGGGCTGGGCCAGGCTGAAGCCAGCAGCCAGGACCTCCATCAGGGTCTCCCACGAGTGGTAGGAACCCAAGTACTTGAGCCATCATCCACTGCCTCCCAGGTGGTTGAATAGGAAGCGGGGAGGAGCAGCCAGGACTCAAACCAGACACTCAGATACGGGGTTTGGGTGTTGGCTTACGTAGTGCTCCACAATGCCTGCCCCCCCAGGGGGATCCTCAGCTCTCAGGAGACCCTCCTGTCGGGCAAGCACAAACCCTGATCCAGGGCTGGACTGACTCACAACATCCAGTATAAAACCCTGTCCTTGGGCTGATGATGAAAAAGTAACCATTTCAGACACCTGAGGTGGTTTTTAAATTTATTTATTGGAAAGTCAGTTACACAGAGAGAAGGAGAGGCAGAGAGAGAGATCTTCCATCTGCTGGTTTACTCCCCAGATGGCTGCAACAGCCGGAGCTGGAAGCCAGGAGCTTCTGGGTCTCCCACATGGGTGCAGGGACCCAAGGACTTGGGCCATCTTCTGCTTTCCCAGGCCATAGCAGAGAGCTGGATCGGAATTGGAGCAGCAGAGATTCGAACCGGCGCCCTTATAAGATGCTGGCATTGCAGACGGTGGCTTTACCCACTATGCCACAGCTCCAGCCCCACCTGAAATGATCTGGACACTTTGTATATGTGGTCTCTGTATCTATAGTGACCCTGGAGTGTAGAACATTGATATTTTGAACAGATGAGAAAGCTGGGTATACAAGTAGTTCAAAAGTACATGAGATTGGGGGCCAATGCTGTTTCATAGTGGGTAAAGCGACCGCCTGCAGTGCCAGCATCCCATATGGGGCTGGTTCAGGCCCTGGCTGCTCCACTTCTGATCCAGCTCTCAGCTATGGCCTGGGAAAGCAGTGGAAGATGGCCCATGTTCTTGGGCCCCTGCACCCACGTGGGAGACCCGGAGGCTCCTGGCTTCAGATCAGCTCAACTGTGGCCCTGGTAGCCAACTGGGGAGTGAACCACCAGATGAACAACCTCTTTCTCTCTCTCTGCCTCTCCTTGTCTCTCTGTGTATCTCTGACTTTCAAATAAATAAATAAATCTTAAAAAAGAAGATGAAAAGTAACACGAGATAAAAATTGGGACTGACCTACTTCAAGGCTTTTTCCATTACACCATTGGTGCTTTAAATTCCCATCTGGAAAGCAGGAGACTTGTGGAAAGGTGGTAACGGTAGCCAGCCCCTCTGTGTCTATCTTTTCGTCTCTAGCACCCTACCCAAATCACCTTCTCCCCTCAAGGTGCAGTGAAATGTTATCTCTCCTGAGACATCTAAGCTTCCGCTACCCTTTGGTCAGACTGCCTTATTATTCTAAGTTGCTGCGTATGTCTCTCCTCCACCTCCACCTGACTATAAACCCCGACGGCACCCAGCACAGCAGAGGCTCCAAAAGGTCGAGAAAGGTCGAAGGAATCCATTGTCAAGTTCATTTCCCTAAGTACAACTCCCATGCCATTCTGGGGACAGAAACTGTGCCAGGAAGGGAAGACATAAAGAAATGTTTGCCTACTCTCTTCCGTGGCCTCGTTTTACTAAGTGGGGCTTTACGTATGTCTTGAAATTCAAAGCTATATAAAATTCCTGTGAACTAGGTTGGAGATGTGAGTCAGAGGTTCACAGGGGAAAAGTGACTGTGCTTGGCTCAGACGGCTGGGCGGTAGCACAAAGTGTGTGGATGGCTTCAAGGTTCTTGTCCCTTTCATGGTGCCATGGCTGAAAACCTAACATTTTGGGCTTTAAAAAAATTTTTTTTAAGATTTCTTTATTTGAGGCCAGCGCCGCGGCTCCCTAGGCTAATCCTCCGCCTTGCGGCGCCGGCACACCGGGTTCTACTCCCGGTTGGGGCGCCAGATTCTGTCCCGGTTGCCCCTCTTCCAGGCCAGCTCTCTGCTGTGGCCAGGGAGTGCAGTGGAGGATGGCCCAAGTGCTTGGGCCCTGCACCCCATGGGAGACCAGGAGAAGCACCTGGCTCCTGCCTTCGGATCAGCGCAGTGCACCGGCTGCAGCACGCCAGCCGTGGCGGCCATTGGAGGGTGAACCAACGGCAAAAAGGAAGACCTTTCTCTCTCTCTCTCACTATCCACTCTGCCTGTCAAAAAAAAAAAAAAAAAAAGATTTCTTTATTTGAAAGCATCATGACTGAGGTGGGGGGAGGGAGAGAGAGACCCTCCATCCACTGATTCATTCTCCAAATGCCCATGACAGCTGTGGCTTGGGCCAGGCTAAAGCAAGGAGCTAGGAACTTCATCCAGACCTTCCAGGCGGGTGGCCAGGAACCCAAGCACTTGGACCATCATCTGCTTAGCAGATGATGCGTTAGCAGGGAGCTGGATTGGAAGCTTGGGGTAGCCAGGACTTGAACCAGGTACTCCGACATCAGATGCAGCTTAATCTGCTGCACCCTCAACACAGGCTCCCAGGCTTTTTTTTTTTTTTTTAAGATTTATTTATTTATTTGAAAGTCA